CCCCCCCCCCTCCCCAGCCCATAGCCATAAATAGTAGCTGTTAGTAATTCATTTGACAGACGAGGACACCGAGGTTCAGAGGGATTAAGTAACTCATCTGAGGCTACACAGCCGGTCAGTGGCAGACCCTTGTCCAAACCCCCACATTTCCCCTCGAAGAGGCCATTTCCTCTCTGACATGCTGCTGCAAGGCTTCTGTGGATACACAGGGAGGGTGGCCTGAGAAGCTACTGGCCCATCCTTGCTCCTGACTCATTTAGAAATAAAGACGGTGGCAAGGACAATTAAAAGGCTGAGGGGAAAGGAAGGCTTATTGGTGAGAGGAAAGCAGCAGAAAATTCTTTAGCCCAGAGAAGGGAAGTCTGGGGCAGGGGTGGGTGGCAGTGGGGTTCCAGAGACGGTCTGTGTAGAATGTAGGGATAGCATGTGGTTAGGCCCCTCTCCTCAGTCCTGCCAGCTACTCCGTGTTTCGGGGCTTTGCCAGGTTGCAGGAGAAAATCCTGTCAACCTGAAGGTGTGGTTTGCTTGGAAAACTGCTGCTGGAGACAGAGACCTCGTCCTGCCTACTTGTGCTATGGCTGAGAGGTAAGCGGTACCCTGTGCATCCCATCCTGCCTTGTTTGCATATCCATTTGCATAAATCTGCATGCATTATGAATCATTCTGAACTCTTGCACATGTATAAATTTAGCCAAATTATTATATTTTAGAAGTCGTTTGTTCCTGACTCACTTTCCCTCCCTAGCCCTTCTTCCCTATTTCTCCTGCCCCCCTCCCCATTATGGACTCTAGCCCCTTCTAGGCCTTGACCTGGCTCTTGGCAATTAGGTGGGATGCAAAGAGGCCTGAGTCCTGAGGCACATGCTGGGCATTCTGCGGGCTGTGTGACTCAGGGCAAGCTGGTTAACCTCCCAGAGCCTCAGCTCCCCACCAAGGAATAAAATGAGGACAAGGACCCCTGCCCTCATGAGGAGAAGTGGTGGGTTTGAAGAGACCACACACTGATGCCAAGTGCAAGGTAGGACTCGGGGCTGGGGTCAGTTCTCCAGAGTAGACAGTAGAGCCTGGCAACTGGCAACTGGCCATCAGCAGCCAGATTTCACTTTCCTGTTGCTGGCCTCAGCCCCACAACTCCACCCTGGATTAGGGACTGGATTAAAGCCAGGGGAGCAGGCGACAGCCTGCCTGGACTAATTGTAGCAGAAGGGGCACCTCCCTCGTCAACCCTCTGAGTCCTGAAGTCCCACCATGGAGCTGCCCTCCTTTGGAAGCTTCGAGTTGCTGCTACGTACAATGCTCATCTCCTCTGGAGTGGGCTGTGCCACAGCAAGAATGCAGATAGACCTGGATCCAAATCCAAGCTGTTACTCGATGCCGGGAGTGGGTGAGGTGCCCCTTCCTGGGTGCTGACCCTGCACTTGGCCGACCCTTACATTTTGTGTCTGAGGCACCTTGCCTACCTCTCCTGGCCCCGCCAGCATTACTCACTGGCTGTGTGACTTTTGGGCAGGCTACTGACATTTTTTGAGCTCCACTTTTCTTATCCACAAAAGAGAGGTACCTACCTTGCAATGTTGTTGTTTGAATTAAATGACATAATGCCCATAAGGGACCCAATTCAGTGCCTGGAGGGTAGTCAGCGAGCACCAAATAGCAGCTGCTGTTCTGATGCATCCCTGTGGGTGAGCCTGTCTACTCCTCTTCTGGGGGTGACTTCTGGGAGGTGGAAGCAAGTGAATGAATGAGGCCCTGATTTCTAGAGAATAGGCCAATAGGTGGAGGGGGCTGTGGCCACAGGGGTCTGGGGTCAAGGCTATCCAGTTTCACCCAGGGAACCAGTGGGGGCACAGGCAGCCTTGATGATTCTAAAGACCTCCGAGTCATATGAATCATGTCACACAAACTCATGCCAGAATAATAACCTCAGCCTGACTCTCCAAAGCTTGCCCCCCACTCTGATTCCTTGTAAACAATTTATTTTTGATGGTTGACAAACGACAACAAATTAATATACCTGCCACTCAAGTGGGGAAAATGACTTGCAGTGATTCCAATTTACTGGAAATTACAAGATACTGTTCTTGACGAGCTGATGCTGTAATTTTTTTGTTTTTCCTCATCTAAATCCATGCCCCCTGGTCAGAATGGATGTTTATTGGGTTTGCGTTTTGTATTATTGACTGTGAACCATTGTTACCTGATGTAATTGAGTTGTGAATCTTTTAAAATAAAGAATTAGCAGCAAATCAAAGTGGCTGCCTGCTGGATCCCGAAACGAAAGCATGGCTAGTGTGCAGTATGATGGCCTGTCAGCCGCCACGCATCCGTGGGGACACTGGAGGTTGACCGACGGAGGGAGGGAGTGAACCTGCTTGGAGATACATGGAGCACCTCATTCCTCTCCTGAACCCCACTCTCTGCTCTGCCTCTACTTCCTAGCGGGACCTTGGGTGAGTCCCTCTCTTCTTTGAGCCTTGAAATCAGGGTAGTAAGATCTGCCTTGCCCATCCCAGCCCACAGGTTTATCGTGAGGGCACAGGAGGCATGGGAGTGTGTACGAGGCTTGGTCAGTGGAAAATTTCTGCTTACATGCATAGTTGCATTATCTAGATGGGTCATTTGAGCCATCAGGAGACACCCCTGGGGGTAAGGGGTGAGTTGTGGAGGCACGTGCTTCTTGCAGCCCCAGTTTTGTTCTGGATCGCACCAGTGAGCAAGGCTGATGGTGCAACCTTCCTGACCAGTGCAGCCCTAAGCACCTGGGAATATCAGAGCTAGAGGGGAGCTCAGTAACCTCT